TATATCATCATTAAGTTTTGTCAAAAGGCTCTCAAATTTCTATGCTAAGATGTTTGTCAATTCAAATTACAGCTATTGGCAGGTATTACATAAGGCTCAAATCACGCAGTTATGAGAAACTAGAAAATCCTGCTAAAATTAATAGGTTATATATTGCTTTACAATAAATTATCGAATTTTATAAATTTTACTTAGTAATATATAGTAAAATTAAAGATTTTCTAATTATATAAAAGTTTATGAATTTTTAATAAAATATATATTAGATCTTTTTTTATTTAATAGCTAATCAATTATAATTTTAAAATATAATTCAAAAATATTATATTTATAAAATGCCAAAAATTCTCATTTATAAAATAATAAATAAAATAATTTTATATATAAAAATGCAAAAAACATATAAAAAAATTGTTACTTATACTTCAAAATAAAAAAAATCTTTTCATATTTTAAAATTTTTTTTTTCATTTTAATATTTACATTATAGATTTTTAAAAGAGTGTTATTATTTATGAAGGTAATTAAATAATCATTATGTAAGATTTATTTACATTTAAAATTAAATCAATTCTAATTATTATTTCAGATGCCCATTGATGCTCACTATTTGTAGATAAAAAAGAAAAAGGAAAACAAATGAGAAAAAATAGCTGAGAAAAGTGATGAAAAATATTTTAATAAAAAATACTATCGTTTAGACTAATGCTCTGAACAGTTCAGTTCAGTTTGTCTAGATTATAGGCCAATTCGAAACTAAACCAAAAATTTCAGTTCAGTTCAGTTCAGATTAAAAATCTTAAAAATTCTAATCTGAAACTGAACTGAACTGTAAACTGGTAAAAATCTGAACTGAACTGAAAATTTCAGATTAATCCAAAATTTTAGATCATTTAGAACAATAACTTTAATCATTCCAAATGAACAATTTTTTATCATTCCAAAAGAACAATAATTTAATCGTTCCAATCAAACAATTCTTTTATCGTTCATTTGGAACGATAATTTGATCGTTTCAATTAAACAATTTTCTTATCGTTTGTTTAGAACGATAATTTGATCGTTCTAATCAAACGATTTTCTTATCATTCATTTGAAATGATATTGTGATCGTTCTAATCGAATGATTTTCTTATTGTTCGATTGAAATGATAATTTCATCATTCCAATTGAACGATTCTATTATCATTCGTTTGAAACGATATTTTGATCGTTCTAATCGAACAATTCTTTATTGTTCGATTAGAACGATAATTTCATCATTCTAATCAAACGATTCTATTATTGTTCATTTGGAACAATATTTTGATCATTCCAATCGAATAATTCTTTTATTGTTTGTTTAGAATGATAATTTGATTATTCCAATTGAACGATTTTCTTATCATTCGTTTAGAATTATAAATTTAATCGTTCTAAACGATCTGAAATTTTGGATTAATTCAAAATTTTCGGTTCAGTTCAGATTTTTTTCAGTTCAGATTAGATTTATAATCTGAAAAAAATCCGAACTGAACCGAAAATTTTCGGATTGATTTTTTGTAATCTGAAACTGAACTGAAGTTGATCTGAACTGAAAATTTTCAGATTAATCTGAACCGTTCAGAGCTTTAGTTTAGACTAATAAAGAACTATTTTTTGGATAAAGTATGAAAAATTAAAAGAGAAAAAAGTTTGAAAAGAGAGTTTTGTTTTTTACTTGCAGGCTAAGCTGTAGCTGCCTTTGAATATATACATTTTTTACATAAAAATTTTTAGACAAAATTTAATAAAAAAGAGAATGTTATTTCTTATATTTATATTATATAATTTAAATTAAAGTTTGTGTAGATTTATAAATAAATTTTAGATAGAATTACATATTACAAAAGAGTTTTTAAATTATTATTTTATATACTTCAATTATAAATTAACCAGTAATTTGATTTTGATGATTTTAGATTTATTTAAATTATCTAATAAAGGAATCTAATAATATTAAAATTATATTTTTAGTATTGTTATCTTATGATATTAATAATTAAAAGGGGATTGGCGTCCCTAGTTCAGTTGGTAACAACTGAGTTCCTATTGTGGGTTACACTGCAATAGCCACAGGTTCAAGTCTCAGCCGAGGCATAAAACTAGATGATTTTCATTAGAATTTCATATGTAACTGAATATGTGGGCGTATATACTAATATGCATTAGAAACTGATCGATCGACCTGTTGATCGATGTTAATCATGCCTAAATACTGAAATTGCAGAACAAGTGGATGCAAATGAAGCCAGGGATCGATAGAAACTTGGCCTTCGCTGATAGGTCTGTAATGGGTACTGTCTCACGTCTTCAATTTCAGAGGCCCTTACACAAGTAACGAAGTGATTAACCAGTAATTAGTAGATTGGGTACTACCTACGGGTGGCTAAGATGATAATAGACTGCATTGTACTGCCGCAGCATCTTCCAATCGAGCTGTCATTAGGGGTAGAGGCTGGGTTCAATTCCTGGATGAATTTGACGATATGGGTACGACCAGTGATGTACATTCTTGATGTCTCAGAGATTTGTTATCTCAGTTATATGTTCCAGCTATATGTCCTAACCTGTCCCACACTATGTCCCAAAGGTCCTATCTGTTCTATCTATGTTCTATCAGCATCCCATCAGTGTCCCATCAATGTCCCATGACAACACTGGGTACGACAGCCACCTACCTTTCTGAGGTTCTATAAGATAAACAATATCTAAGCCTTCCCGATCATGTGTAAAAATATCCTGATACCGGGCAAAGGTAATAGTATTCAGATATGATGTTGGTAAATACAGGAAAAAATTGACAAAAGTACCTGTGGCTGAAAGTGATCCCTCTATCCATATTTGACAGTAGTTCTGAGGTTTAGGAACTTTGAGGGCTAGCTCTTAGGGATGTCGACCTAGGTGGCAATTTTTAGACCAGTATTACAGGGCAGGTTCTGGCTAGAACTATGTGTCTAGTTATAACTTTGGGGAATTCTCAGGTATAGAGGGTAACACCTTAATACTCTATTTAAAGATTTCTATGTATCGAATACTGTAACTTAAAAAAAAAATTAATACATAAACAGATATAACAAATAAATCAAATATATCTAATATATCCAATATGTCAAAGATATCAGTTATATCAAATATATCAAATATATCCGATATGTCTGACATTTAGATCTGCAATATATTGCATCACATTTATCAATTCAATCCTGTTACATTACATTAAAAATCATGTATTTAAGACTTTTTTAAAATCTTTCTAATATTCTATTGATTAGTTGATTAGAATATTGATATTTTCTATATTCAGCTCATTTGATTACCTGAAAGTTCATTAGAGTTTAATATAATATTTAAAAAAATATTTAATTCAAACTTTATATTATATTTAAGTATATATTTAGAAAAGTGAAAACTTTTTCTAATATTTTATATAATAATTACAAAGAAACTTTTACTTTCAAATATATATTCAAATATCCTTTTTTTATGATTTGCTTTTTAAGTTTACTATCAGAATAATTATTTTTATATATTTTTAATAATAAAATATATTAATTTTAGAATTTTTATTTCTAACCTTATAAAATTATAAAAAAATAATATATTGTTAGCATTGAAAATTTGCCCAAAAAAAATGATTTACAAAGCCATTAGATTTAATTTTATGTAGATCATATTAAAGAAGATCTTAATTGATGTATTACATTAGAAAATCATTTAATTTGAAGGATTTACAAAATTCACCTGATTTGCCTATTTTCTTTGTATTTTCTGAACAGTCTGTTTATTCTATTTACTTTATTTTGTCTGTAATTTCTTTAACATCTGTAATTTATTTATTCCTCTTTATTATTTTTATAATTTATATTATTTTTATTATTTTATTATATTTAAGTATATTTTTATTGAGACATATATCTATATTTAGTTAATTTATAGCGTAACAAGTAGCTAGCCGTAGCAAAGTCATTTTGTATAAATAGAATAGCTTTTGCTTAAGTTGTAAATTAATTCAATTGTAAATCTATAAACTCCTTTGCAAGTTTATAAACTCATTTGTAAGTTTCATACGAGTTTCAAGTTATAAATAAAGGAATCAATTTAAATTTATACAAATTACTTTTCCCTTCAACGTTGTCCTTCACCTAGGATTGTTGTGATACACTACATTAACTTGCTATTGAGTTAGTTATTATGAGTTCGACTAACATATCTTAAGTTCTAAGACGTGATAAATTATTGAGTTGATTTAAGTATAACGGATACCTGTAGGACATAGAGAAAATCCTAAGGTCAGAAACTCCAACATGTAAAATCAACTGCTGTAGCCTTTCAACTTAGACGCTAAGATAAATGAAAATGAACCCAGTGACAATGTATATTGTCCAATACATGGAATTTGAATATTTTGATTATTTAAATGCCAAGAATGTAATGTGCATCCTACACCTCGAGAAAAATAAACAATATATTTATTATAAGAAATGCATTAACGTTATTGAATAATTTTTTGACTAAAATCTTTTAATTGTTTATTTTGTGGTTTATATAGATATTTATGGGAATTTCTAAACATCGCCTAGGCAATTATCGCCTGAGTGATTGTCACCTAGGTGATCATCATCTGGGTGATCATCGCCTGGATTTTTTTGAATGTCACATGATGTATAATATATAAATATAACTATTGTTTATTAATAATTATTATTATTAGAAATGCAGGACTATTCAGAAGCTGATTCTATAGCAGAAGCAAGACCAGTTAGAGGCTCTTCGCCCAATCATATGGATTTAGTACTTACCGTCCCCACTCTTGGATGATGAAACCGTTTAGGAATATAGCCGAGATCCATAAACTCTTGCGTGTAATTAAAAATGCGTCACGATACTAATGTATCACATGTTACACAGTATTTAGCATACAGCATGCCCAAAATAAACAAATTCTTATCTTACCTAATCACTTTTTATAAATAGATTAAATGGATAATGTGCATAATAAGCACCACCTTTTTGAGGTGTACTCTTCAGAAGAAGAGATAGATGATATTAATGAACTACAAGATAAATATGAATATGAAAGTATGTCTAGCAAAGAAGAATATTCATTATTTGGTATTGAGGCTGGAGATATGTTTGAAAGCTAAGATTTGGCTGAGAAACAAGTTCAAAGCTTCGCAAAAAATACTGGCTTTGAAGTGAAGAAATTTCAGCTTAAAAAAAACAAAGAAGGTGAGATTGTACGTTAAACCTTCAAGTGTAAGTTTTCAGAAATATATCATGCACAGAAGAAAGCTGACATAGAAGATACCTGTGAGCGTAAAAGTGCAAAATCGAATTGTCCTTGAACAATTAACCTTTGGCTTACTGGTGGTCTCGTATATGTTACCTCATTATGCAACGAACATAACTACTTTCTTGTTGAAAAGGAAAATTTAGTATCAAATCATTATCTTGGTCCAGAAATTCTTGAAGAGATTGAATTTCTCGTAAATATTGGCTGTAGAGCGGATTCAATTATCCTCGCATTTCAAAAATGTTTTTCTGAAATAGTAATACACCCAAAATATGTATATAATACAATTTGTCACATTCAGAATAGTCAGAATAAATCGAAAACAGATGCTGCCGAAACGTTTGAAAAATTAATGAAATTACAACGTGAGAAACATGGATGGTTTGTTAAAGTGAGGCTGGAAGGTGAAGATAACCATCTTACAGGCCTGTTTTGGATGAGGCCATCGCAGATTGAACTCTAACGCAAGTTTTACGATGTTGCGATTAATGATAATATATCACAAACAAATAAATATCGAATGTATCTGTCTCTTACCATAATAGTAGATAATCATGCATGCTCGCGTATGATTGTAACTGCCATTGTATCAGATGAAACTAAAGAAACCTATCAGTGGATTCTGAAATGTTTACTGTCTGCCACAGATAGAGTTCCGAATGAGTCGAGTCGAGTCGAGTTTAAAGACTAACTCTATTCGACTCATTTTTTTCGAGTCGAGTCGA